AAAAAGGAGAATTAATAATCTCAACAAACCCTGGAAAATGCCTGGCAATATTTTAAAACTGTCAAAATTTTTTGGTAGGTACCAAGTTTATAAAAATATCCTGGTATTTAAATTTTATCTTAATGTCTTTGAATTTTTTTTAAAAGACACCAATCTGTGACATCTTAAAATTTCCCCATTTGTAGCAAAAAAACAGAAACAGAAAGAATGAGAAAAATTTAGATTAGGACACTGTTGACTTAGTGATAGTGGTTTTTTTCTTTTTTTCTCACAGTAAGATGTATTTATAGCAATGTTTTTGGCTTGAGAGTATTTGATAGAACAAAAGCTTGGAAAATGTTTTCCATACAGGCTTAGGGGAAATATTATGAGTACTGAGGCTGGACTTTAGAAAGGAATTGTACGCCTTTAAAAATAGTTCTAAAATACATTAGGAAGAAAACATACCTTTGCTAAATATTTTATTTTTTAATGAAGTAAATAAATACAAGAGACTTCAAAGCTCATGGAACAGTGGAATTAAATAATATTGTATTTTTAAAAACATTTGTGTGAACTTGAAAAATCTAACGCTGCAAAACAAGCCCTTGATGTCCTATGTTGCACCATATATTATAATTTCTTGCTTAAAATGATAGGCATTTACATGGGGAAACTGGAGAATCTCTTAGCCATTTTGTTAAAATATTGTTAAAATATCTTGGTGCAAATAAGGGCTAGTTTAGGCTACAAGGAAGGCAAATCATGTCCTGTGTTTCTGAATCACATGCTGTACAAATCATGTGTTTAGGGTTTTTAAGTAAATACAAGCTGATAAGCATAAGACACTTACTTTTCGGGGATCGTCCTTAAGGACTCTTTCATGCCCTTTGGCTGCTGTGCGTTCAAATGGAATTTGCCTTCTGATCCCATCGTCATATCCGGGTGGCTGTTAGGGGCTGTCAAGTCAGTTCTGATTCAGGGTGACCCTGCGGACAACCGAAAGACATACTGGGAGTCCTGTATCACCCGCCACACGAGTTAAGTCCATTGTTGCAGCCACTGTCAGTCCAACTTGTTGAGGGACTTCCTCTTTATCTCTGACCATTGTAGTTCACCAAGGAATGAAGCCCTTTTCCAGAGCACTCCCTCCTGATAACATGCGTCAAGCACATGGAGTTAAGCCTCGCAGCTGTTGCTTCTAAGGCGCGTTCTGACCGTACTTCCTCCAAGACCGATTTGTTTATTCTTCTGGTTTGTATTGGGTACTTTATCAATCTTCGTTACCAGCATCATGCTTCAAAGGCAGTTTTCTCCAGCCTGCTTTATTCCATGTCCACTTGTCACATGCACATGAGGCGATCGAAAATACCATGGCTTAGGTCAGGTTCCACTTAGTCCTCGATGGAACATCTTCGCTCTCTAATACTTAGAGAGCATTTTGCAGCCAATTTGCAGCATGCATTGTTTCCTTTGCTGCTTCCAGGCACATCAAGTGTGCATCCAGGTAAGATCAAATCTTTGACAACTTCAGTCTTTTCTCCATGTATCACGATGCTCTCTGTTCCAGCTGCGAGGGTTTGCTTGGTGTTGAGGTGTTTCCAGGATCGAAGGTGTAGTCCTTGATCTTCATCAGCAAGTGCTTCAAGTCCTCTTTGCTTTCAGCTCTTCAGAGATCCTCCGAATCCGGAAGCAGCCACAAAGCTGTGGCTCACACTCAAGAGAGAGTAGGCGTTTACTTGGGGGGAAAGCAGGAGAAAGGAGTTGGTATCTTTAGAAATACTCGTATTAGATATTATGGGCAAATTTATGTTTCCTTTTTTTATTATAATGACACCTAATCGCTGTGAAGCCTCACTTCATCTTGCAATTTGTGTTGTTTAAACTGGTGTTTCAGCTTTGTTTTTTGTTTGTTTGTTTGAAACTAGCTTGTGTGTCACAAAAGAATTTAAGTCAATTTCAATTGAACTTTCCACCTCTCATAACCACTCAGGCCAGTGTCCAGCTCTGACAGGTAAGGGCTCTGGAGGATTTGTGACCTTTCCCTTTTTCTAATTTAAATTTCATTCATTATTATTATTCTATCATCTTCCCTTTTATTTGTGGTCAACTTTGTCCTGACAGTGGGTGGGGAAGTCCTTTTCTTCCTTGAACCAGAGTGCTGTCAATGATATGGTGAGAAATCTCTGTTGGCAAAGGACTGACAGAGACTGATCTAGCTAATATTTCAAGCCTAGGAATATTTATTACGGGAGATGTTGTTCAACAGACGGGATGGCAGGGAATCTTGAGATCAGTTCTCCGTGATTCATGAACAACTGAATCTCGATTACTTATCTGGATGGCTTTTGGTTTTTCTGCTTTCTGACCATCGATTTAAGAATCATGCCTTACACTATATCATGGTGATCATTAATACCAACACAGCTTTTGTTTTTCCTTAGAGGGTCTTGGTTTGTTTCACATGCTGATAGGGTTTTATTGTCAACAATAAGGGTAAGTCTAAGGATAGAGCCCTTGGAGGAACCCTGGTGGTTTATTGGGTGATACATTAGTCTACTCACTTTCAGGTCAGCAGTTTGAAACCACTAGCCACTCCTTGGAAGAAAGATGAGGCTTTGCATTCCTGTAAAGAGTAATGGTTTCAGACATCCCTAGGGCAGTTCTGCTCTGCCCCATAGGGCCCCCCTGGGTCTGAAATTACCTTAATGGCAGTGGTTTGGGTTATTTCGGATAGGGCCAATAAAGCTTCTTTGACTCCTCTTCAAAGCTTGGTAGAGAACAACTGATAGTGGGGTAGGCCAATAACACAGAATTCCAAATATTCTTACTTGAAATGAGGAAAAGGCCAGTTAATTGTTATTTATTAATTAACAATTATTGAGTATGAATGTTAAAAGCCTTTTACCACGGTGCTTGTTTGAGAATTAATATGGTTGAAAGTTCTCGGGTTGTGAGAGATGTTGATGGATTCTCTCCCCAAAGTCAAATGGTAGGGCACGGGGTGGAGCCTCACCTTAATGTACTCAGACAGCGTCTCTTCCTGGCTCCGTGAATTAGGCAATGATCCCAGGGAACATGGAGTCATTTTTAAGGGATGGTTCAGATTAGTACAACTGAAGCTTCTTCGAGACACTGCTTCCTCTTCATTTGATTGTATAAGAATTGATCTGGTATCGGCATTTTTGAGCACCAGGGCAATGCAATAGGATTTCTGACAAATGTAGACTACTCCATATACATTAGGTGGGTTCCAATACACTCAGGCTTCTATAGTCAGTCAACGTTGGCCCCAGCAAAAGCAAGTCACTCAAGTGGCACCTGCCATTAGATTTTCCTAATATTTCCTAGTACATAAGACCCTGTACTATCCAGGAAGATCCTGGCATTTTGGAGAAACTCCAAACCCTGTAATACTATTTTCTTCCCTATTCAAATGTTGTATTTTCAAAATATATAAAGCAGTGAGTACAGAGGGATGGTTGGTGAATATTCCTTTTAAAAAAAATCATTTTATCGGGGGCTCGTACAACCCTTATCACAATCCATACATACAATCCATTGTGTCAAGCACATTTGTGCATATGTTGCCATCATCATTCTCAAACATTTGCTTTCTACTTGAGCCCTTGGTATCAACTCCTCATTTTTGCCCCTCCTTCCCTCATGAACCCTTGATAATTTAGAAATTATTATTATTTTGTCATATCTTACATTGTCTGAAGTCTCCGTTCACCCACTTTTCTGTTTTCTGCCCCGCCCCACAGGAGGTTATATTTAGATCCTTGTAATCGGTTCCCCCTTTCTACTCCACCTTCCCTCCACCGTCCCAGTATTGCCACTAATATTTCTTTTTAAAGATAATTTTAGTAATGCTTGTACCCATTGTTGTTAGTGCTTCATCTCTCCCCAACCTCCTTTGTCATAACTGTAAGACGGTATTAATCTAGTTACTGTCTCAATTGATTGAACTCTCCTGTATATCATCCAATAAATGCCATCAGCAACAACAAAATAAACTCCGAAAAGCAGAAAATCATAAAAACTAGAACAAGTTAAAAATCAGCCCAAAGGGAAAACAAAGGGTACCATCTTAAACTTTAACCATATCTGCAGTAATCCACTTTCTGATGCCCTCTGTCTGAGGACTAGACTCTTCACGGTCCTGGTAAGTGTCCGCAGTGAGCCCAATGGAGACGTAATCCGTGTGAGGATCTTTCAAATTGATGTTGAGCTTTCACCATCATCCATGGCTTTCTGCAACCAGGTTCTCAGAATGTAAGCTCTAATACAATTCCTTTCTCTCGTCTTAGATTTTGTTATTTACAATCCTTGGCTCATAAGGCACTGACTGGTATGTTCCTGGGTGCACTTAGCTGACACCTCACTTAGATAGCTGCTCGTTTTAAGAGAAGCCTTTAAGATCCTACGTGCTATTTTTTTCCTGATAGCCAGGCACCATCTGCTTTCTTTACTACACTTTGCTCTAGGACCCATATCATCAATGATGACTTCCTGAAATTCTATAAAACTATTGCCTGGCTTAGATAGAACATCCATGGTGGTGGTGGTGGTGTGTGAACATCTTTTTTTTTTTTCCTAAATTAGTTTGGGTGAAAGTTTACAGAGCAAATTTGTTTTCCATTCTGCAGTTTACACATGTTTCCCTTGTAACATTTGTCACAACCCCCTCAATGTACCAAATACTCCTCCCTCCCTCTCCTGGGAGTCCCTGTTTCCATTTGCTCTGCTTTCCGGTCCCCTCCTGTCTCCTGAGCTTTGCTTTTGAGTAAATACTGCCTTTTGATATCTTTGGTTGGTTGTACTGGAGTACATTCTTCCCTACTTTGATTATTCATTTGTCGGTCTGTCTGTTATTTGGCTAAAAGTTGACTCCTGGAGGTGGTTAATTTCAAGGCTGGATGTGTGTCTAAGGTCACAATCTTGAGGCTTCCGCTAGTGTCTATTGGACCAGTAAGCCTGGCCTTTTTTCTTTTTTGAATGAGTTTGAACTTGGTTCAACATGCCCCCCTCCCACCCCCTCTCATTAGGATCTTCTCTTGTGACCCTGATCAGAGTGGTCGGCAGTTGCAGGGCACCAGCTACTTCTTCTGGTCTCAGTCGTGGAGGCTGGGGTCCATGTGGTCCATGTGGAGAAACGTTCTTGAAACACAAGTTCTGTAGCAGCAGAACCACTTCAATTATAAAAGCACTACAATTGTAAAAGCTAAGTCTATATAAATATTCATAATACTATGGCGATTTTACCCCGCCTCCTCCAGAAAGGAAAATATAGGCTTAAGCTTTTGGAGAGTATTTGAAAGTAATTGCATGCACAGTAAAGCTCACACATTGAAAGCTTATATCTTCTTGGCATCTCAGATTCTTCTCTGTTGTACCGAGTTGAGATAGTTAGTTTATTGTGCCAACCTGGCTGATAAACACAAGTGGGTTCATTGAAGGACGGAGGATATAAATGGCTCGGTGAGCCTCACCTTTCTAGTTCTTGGGTCTCTTGCTTTCTGATGTTCGGACCAAGGTGAAGCTGCCTTAGTCAGTTCCCTGCTTCAGCTGGCAAGGCTCACTTCCTGCAAGGCATCCCTGAGGAGAAGCCGCATGGACCTACCCTGATGCAGCCCTGGGTGCTGGAGCACCCGTGTGGAGACCCCTGCCAATGCTGAGATATTTACACATCCACTGACTTGGCTTTCCTCCTGCAGTAGGCATCATTGCGTCTTTTTTGTAAGATAGAGGAGGACTTTGTGGATTGGTGTTGGACATATGGGTTAATGTTGGACTTGTGGGCTTGGGCAGCACTGGGTTGGGATGTTTTCTTGATGCACACTTAACCTTTCTATAAAACTCTCACTTGTACGTGAGTTTCTGTGGATTTGTTTCTCTAAAGTACCCAGACTGACACATGAGTGTTACATCTAG